ACGGGCACGTTCTCCCGCACGCTCACGCGGTAGAGCGGCTGGCTGAACACGGGCGCGTTGTCATTGGCATCGAGCACCACCACGTGGATCCGCGCCGTGCCGGAGCGGACCGGATCTCCGCCGTCAGTGGCGGTGAGGATGAGGTCGTGAGCAGCCTGCTCTTCCCGGTCCAGGGGCTTCTCGAGCACTAATTCGGGGTATTTAAAACCCCCAGATGCAGTTTGCACTTGCAGGGAGAAATGTTCGTTACTGCTCAGTTTGTAGCTCTGGAGAGAATTCGTCCCCAAATCAGGATCCTGAACGTTGTGCAAGTGGAACCGGGATCCTGGGGCTGTTGTCTCACTGACTTTTAATTCCATTTCCCCTGTTTGGAAGCTCGGAGCGTTGTCGTTTATATCTACGATTTCGACTTCCACTCCATACAGCTTCATGTCATGCCCCACTATAAGCTCGCAGTTCAGCAGACATTTCTCTGCCCGGCCGCACAGCTGCTCCCTGTCTAGCCGCTCCGCCGTGATTAAATGGCCGCTCTTTATATTCAGAATGAAATACTGCGTCCTACCTGTGGAGACCACGCGCACGCCGCGCTCCGACAGCGCCTTGGCCTCCAGCCCCAGGTCCTGCGCGATGTTGCCCACGAAGGAGCCTTTCTGCATTTCCTCGGGGATCGAGTAGCGAATCTGCCCGGCCGCAGCGGCCCCGCACACGGCCAGCACCACGCAGCACAGCACGGCTCGCCCTGCGCAGCGCCGCAGCCCTTGTGCTCCGGAACTGGTCATGGCGATCCGGAGGATCCACTGCCTCTCCTCCGCCGAGCGCTGCTGCTTGGAGATGATCTCGGGACGATCGCTTTTGACAATATCAGGTGCTAACCCGTCTCTCGGTTTCCGCGAATAGCCTGCACCGAGAGTCAGTTCTGTGCGAGTGCGAGTCTGAGCTATCTGTGCTGAGCTGTGCGGCGGCGGCGCTGGGCTGGCTGGATCTCTCGGCTCATTTCTCTCCCTGATTGGTGAACAGCGGCGCTCAGAGTCTTAACCAATAACTGCAGACTCTCTTAAGTACAACGTTTGGGAAGTGATTTCCTTTGATACTTAAAGTGTCATTGGTGCCTTTTCCCCATCGTCGTGAGGAATTGAAGACTGAAGTGCTCCGAAGGGATTAACAGTGGAGTTAGTTTTATGCCTCACAAGGAGTTAATGCTTCTGCTTTCAATATTTTCACTATAATTGTAGATGGCTTCCCGGTCCTATCACCTGTGTGTCTATGTCTCTGTGCTGACTTGTCCACTTGTTTGTCCTTTTATGTCAACTTTCCTTATGTACTAAACGGCTGGAATAAACTGATGTACACGTTTGGTGAGGTTGTTACTGTGTGGTAGAAGGTTGTCACCGCCTGATAAAACTGAATTTTAGCCCGGGATTGTGACTTGTAGATTTCCATTGTATTTCAGTGTTCATTTCTGTTTTTCACTTGCAGTATGCATTGTCACCTCAATGGAAGTAATATAAATGGCAGGCAAAGGCGTGTTTTCTATGGCTGAAAATTGGAGCTGAGTCTCTCTGAATGTTGGTAACGGGAGGAGTTCGGCGCTGCATAGACAGCTCTGTCTCCCAGTTAGTGGTGAAAGGAGAGAGGTGTTTCTTGTATCTGACAACGCAGCAGGTGACCTGATTATGGACTTCTCCCAGTCAGCACCATTAGTCCCTCGGGAATAGTAATTACCTTTTTAGTGAACTGTATGTAAAAGAGATGCAATGTAATGTTATCCTGTATATTTCACACTTCAGCAGTATTTCCAGTTCCTTCTATCCAGTAAAATGTAAGGCTAGCGGTATCCTTGAGAACGGTAGCAACAAAGTATAACATTTACAGGTAACCAACAGGGAATATGCAATCTCACATATCTGTACACCGCACACCCACACAGATACGTACAAATACCAGCTGTGAGGTACCAGTATCAACTGGGCGCAGAGCAGCAGACTCGAGTTCTTGAAGTGCCTTGCAGTTCTACAAGGCTGTCATTTTGATACAATGCAACTCTTCCCTTTACCAAGCACTACGAAGCATTTCCTCTACTTCCTCTTCACGAGGCCACATCTTTTAGGTAAAGAAATCTTTCCTAGCAGCGACAAATGTATGCCATCATTCAACCATCAACCAGGCAGCGAAAATATCCTCACTCTGCCTCCTGTCTCTGGAACAGGTTTCATACCACTATTCCCAAAACCATATTATTGCAGCGTCGGTGTAATCGTAAATAAGTTGCACACGGGTGACTTTTCTCAAGGTGAAAAACTTGCTTCCTGAGAGGGCTAGGCAGAGAACATCTATGCTACTGAAAGGAAAACTTTTAGAGTTTTCCAGAATAAGCCAGCCTTACTTCTAGTTGTGGATATGCGAAGTGCTTTGCAAGGCTATAAATTATTACTAGTTCCTTTATATTATGGCAAATAAGGGCATTCTAAGAAACTGTGTAGCTTCTTATTGTTACAGAGCATTTGGACCAATGGTAACTGAAGAAGAGACCTTGACAGGAGGATGTAAGAGGAAAAATACTAATTTCGTGAGGTAAATATCTTTCTCCGGTAGCGCAGAATACTTGAAAGCCTGATAAAAGGTATCAACGATCACGTTTTTGGGAGGAGCTTAAGGAGTCACTCACGGGGCTGAGAGCCGTCGGAAACTCCTCTACCTGAACGTTACATTTCTCACCTGAATATCTGTCAGTATAACAGTGACGTGAATAAAGGGGAACCGGGGCAAAATGAAGAGCATATATGTGCAGCAAAGTTGTGGCCATTACTGTATTCAAGACCTGAAGGAAAATTAAACAAGCAAGGCTTTTTAACAGGAAACCGATTTTCAAACATAAAAAGAAACTCCTTTCACCAAAAACTCAGCTATTTTCCATAGCGGTT